AAAAAATTGTACTCGTAAAAATTTCTAGAAAATGATAAAAAAAAATTTTCGAAACAAATTTTTGAAACATTTTTCCAAACATTTTCGAAAAATATAATTCTGTTTCCCGATTGTTTTTTTGTTTCAAAAGAAAAATTTTCCGAAAAGTTGTCTAAAAATATTTTGAAAATTTGGAAAAAATATTCCGATTACAAGTTTTTTTTTTTAAAGACAGTGATTTTGATGGTGTTTTTTTGCAGTATCGAATGGAAAACTCATTGACAAAGTTGTCACGTGATGCTGGCGCCAGAGCAAATTAGTGGGAGAGCCAGTGGGTGAGAACAGAAGGGGTTGGGGTTGAGGGAAGTAAACGACATTAGCAGTAGTTCCAATGTGTGTAACTGCGGTAACTGATCTACCTAGGTGCACGCGCGCACTTATTATTCCGTTCAAACCACCCCCGCGAGGGGATGCGGGGGTGAATTGTGTACACAACATTGATAGGAGGGCCAATGGGTTTGGAGAGCACTGGCCACACGACAGGATGCCGAGGGGTCACTGGAACTACTGGAACAATCGGAATTCTGCCTATCGATCCTTGCAATTCATTTAACATGCATTCACTAAATATCAACATCATTTTTTTTCCTTCCCCCCTCCCACAGAATTCTTGCTGAATTTTTTCCGACGACAATTGACGGTCAATTAACGAATCATCTTTCCAGCCTTATCGTCATTTTTCCTCCAATCGACATCGAAATAATTTCAATTTCAATTTGAATTCAATAAATCCGATTCAAAGAATTCCTTGAACCTTAATAAATAAATTCAAGAAAAAGGGAAGAAATTTATATTTCCTCTTGGATTAATACCTAAAATAGGATGTGATATTTCACACGCATAACTCGAAATATTCCGTGAAAGTACTTACAGCGGCCTCGGTTAATTAACGTTCCAGCCAATTCCAAAAGATGAAAGACCATATTCCCCCTTCTCAGGTAGTTTGTTTGGGTTAATAACAAACTCCCCCAAAACTTGAGCCGTTACCCCAAACAAAAATTCACCTCGCTGGCACACCATGGGGGTACATTAACGCCATAAAGTGTTTGGCACTGCCTATATCCTCCAGGATGTATGAATTACGAAGAGTGTGTGCTTTCGTCTCTAATCCATCGGTGGCTGGGGTTCTACCGGCATGTTAAATTTAATTACTTCGCTAATCGTTGATATATAGCCCCGGTGACACAAGCCATCGGGGTTTACCTCCATAGAATGTCTGACACGTTTGTTTCCTGGGCTTCCGATGCCTGTCCCCGACGTTCATAATGGATTCCCTTAATTTTAAATTGTCCCGGCCAAATTCAATTAAGACGTCAGAGGTTGATGATCGTATTCGCGCTTTTGTCACATCAATTTTCAACACTGCAAGAGATCCCACTATTCGAAATTACACTTATCATATCAAATCTATTGCATTTATATTTTTAACAATTTATTTTTGAGGAATTATTTAATTTCGAATACTGGAGGATTAAAAAATGTAATAAACAGAAATTAAATTATATTAAAAAACCAGACAACAATTTTTACACAACGATAAATACCGATAAATAATATTCTAAGACGAATCGACTACTCAAAACTCCAAATACCTTTTATTCAATTGCAATCGACCACTATTTTCCCTCACAGCAGCACTCGGCAACTGAATTCCATTTTATTCGAATTGAAGAAAAAAAAAATGGGAATTCATGGAAACGAGAAAAGTCTTTCTGCCCAGCATATGGTACGTGGCGTTGGGTGAGTGTAGAGTCGTTAGCAGTCTCGAGAGAGAGAAATAAAAGAGAAAAAAAAATGCAAGAAAATAATACGAGGGCCTCTCCTCAGTGGTCTCACTTGTACGTGGCAATTTTCCTCCGTATGCCCAAGATGCTGAGGGCCTCGGCACAAGGGCCAATGGAAATAGATGAGTGGGTCTCGTGCTCTCGTTTAAAAAACGTTTTCAACTTGAGCGCGTCTCAAGGTACATCACAGAGATGAAAAGAGAAAAGTGGCTGCGGGTATAGGGAGCAGGTGTCCAGGGTTTCTTAACGCTCCTAGCCCTTACCCCCACGAATATCTTCCTCTTCGATTCTGTTTTCATACCTGTTGTATACCTGGGCCCTTTCTCCAAATATAACCTCGACTTAAAACCATCTGCCGAGGGCTCTCTCGATATCCACCGACGCTCCTCCACAGCTCTCCAATTTCATATTCTCTATCTGCTCCTGATGTACAGTCTTTTTTTTTTCCTCTCCTCGTCTTTTTTCAACGTATGGAAACTGGGAGTTGCAGCTGTCTTTACAGCTTGCTATTTTCATCTGTTGTTAATCCCTTCTGGAGATTAATGGTGGTATTCTAATTTTCAGATATTCAGGGTGATATTCCAGGCGCAGATGATGTCTGGGGATGTGGAATAGGTGCAGACAGGAATCCCGAAATTTTATTGGGCAGCGATTTTCGTGTGATTGCCATTTTTTTGGCGGACATTTGTATTTTTGAAGATGATCTGAAGATTCTAAAGTTGATGGGACAATTTGTAACAATTTATTCGGTATCAATTATTCTTGAAAAAAAAAAGAAATCAATAATTAATTATTAATTGTTTAATTGATCGATAGAAAATTTTGAGAATAAAAAAATTTGGAAATCAATCAATTATAAATACACTGTAACAATATAATACAATTAAAATTAATAATAAAAATTGGAATAATCAACCTGAAAAAACCGTTTCTATTTTCTCTTCAACAGTTCATCCACGAGGAATTTCTCATTATTCAAAGGAAATTGAATTTCAAAACTCAATGAATATTTTTGTATTCCTCCCCTGGTATTCGTTAAAATTTCTTTTGTCGTTTCGATGTCTCGAAATGTTTGAGGATTCAAATAAGATACTCTCCTAATGAAAGAAAATAATTTCGAAATGACACATCCATGTTCGTATACTTATTTTAAAAGCCCTGTACGGTATATGGTAATGCATTATTTACATGCCCGATCCAAAGCTCTCGGACTATTCACGAGGGACGGCAGGTGCTCGCACACGACTTTCTGAGTTATTCTGCCATGCTTTTCTCTGTATAACTCTTCCCCCTTCACCCTTTTTACGTGAGAAATACTCTTTGTTTCTTACCCCCACTTTTTCTCTCCAAACAGTGATTTTTTATGAGCCAGAGAGTCCCTGAGTCCGAGGGGATTCAACTGGTCAATTCAACTGGTCAATTCAACTGGTCAATTAATCCAGTCATCACATAAAAAATTTATGAACTTCGGATAATATTGATGTCCAGAAATTTTTGTAGTCATTCATCAAATAGTCCGCGAAAAATGAAAATTCCAAAATTTCAAATTGGAATCAAGCGGAAAAATCCAATCAAATGAAATGAATTTTTTAAAATAATTGAAATAAAATAATTTTCACTCAGGAGTAACCGAAAATGTAATTTTTTAATGTGGAAATCCTATCCTCAGGGATCTCATGTAAAATGTTATTTTAATTCCCGTATTTCAGGGGGGGAATAAATAAAAAATAAAAATGTGACTTAACCTCGTGGAGTGTAGACCGCAGAACCGCAAATTTTCCAGGAGTCCTGGATACCGAAGCCTGTACCACCGGTTTGAATCTCTTGGTGGCTTTAATTTCTCCATTGGCTCTGTCTCTCTTCTCCAATTTCCCTCGTTTGCACCTGCCCCTGTCGATGTGCCTTCCTGGCAGCCCATCTCGTCCAAGAAACCTCAACCTCTCCCCTACCAAATTCCCTTCACTTGACTCGAAAATTCCAACGTTTGACTCCAGACGAGAGTGAATTCTCCCTCAATCCAAGGGGTATGACGATCTTCAAAGCATCATGGAGTTGTACAGCAAATCGTTCCTAAACATCAGATGTATGTAAATGAGAGGGAATTGGAGGGACATTAACGAGTAGAAGGTGCTTTGATGTCAGGACGAGTCAAGCGCGGAATAAATAAAACGGCATTCGTTGCGGATACTTCTGGGCAAATAGGGGTGTAAATATTTTGATGAAGATGATGCCTCGGGACGATAGCAATTCCTTTTTCCTAAATTGTACACAATGTAATAATTTAAAATAACATGCACAGTGTTCTCACAACCAAAATACTATTTAAGATATAATTTGAAAATTCATATTCTTATCGATTTGTTTATTTACTTTTATTTGAAAAGCAGGGAAATACCTGCCTCTTCAATTAAATTATTCTATGATAATTATAAAAATTTCCGATATTTTCAGCATGAATATTCAATATTCCCAACAAAGGCATAAATTCCCACGACTTCCACCAAAAACCTGAAATTCATAATTTGATAAAAAAATTTCACTTCAATATATCTCTCATATTTTCCGCCATGCATATCCGGAAAATTAAATTTTTCCACATAATACCAACATCAATAATCAATACTTCTTCGACCCCCAAAAAATCACCCCCCGACTTTCCACCCCCAAAAATATACCTCTATAAATACCACCAACCCTCAATTAAAATAATTTCCCAAAATCAGCCATCTCTCCAATATTCTAATATTTTTGGAATTAATTCAAAAACGGAGGGAAAAAAAAAAGTTCAGAATACGCGAAAAAAGAAAAGCGGTTGGGACCCAATAAAGGAACCACCTGCCGCCAGGAGGTGGGTAGGGACACTAATGCCCCTCTCCCCAACTGCCCCCAGTCCTACCCGTCCCTCTTTATTCCATCGAGCAATTTTCAACGGCAAACGCGCAGTCTCTCCCCCCTCTACCTTCTGTCGAGAAAACGACTTCCCCCAGTCGTTTCTTCTTTTCATGGCACGCATTCCCCTCCAACTGCATCACAAGAAAAAAAAAATTAGGGCCGGAGAGAGGGGAAAAAGAATAGGGTACTGGCGCACAGAGTGGGGCACGGAGTGGGTCGGAGAGGGGGTCGCTGAAGGGGGGGTAAACCCACGGTACGCGTCGGACGCTCAGTTGCCGTGCGACCGTTGAAAGGCGCGCAAGCACAACCGTTCAAATTTGTGCGTCGCACTGCACCCAATACTCAAATAATTTTTTTAATTTCCCGCCAAAGTCAATATTCTGCAAGTCAAGCCACTGGCAATAATAGCCTTCAGGATAAAAAAAATACCAGTAATTTTCACGAGAAATTTTACTGATAGCGAACAGCCCGTGGACATTTTAAAGTTTCTCAATGATTTTGTGATTGTGAAGTGAAAATGGAGTTGTGAGAATGATTTGTGATCGTTGAGGATTAGTGGAGGATTTTTTAATTTCAAGTGTGGATTTCTTACGGTGGATTATTGTGGGATTATTATCGATTTTACAGCGATTGATCGATGCTCTTTGAAGAGATATTCAGAGTGAATCGCTTATTTGGTTACATTTTTTTTTTAACGTGAGTGGTGAATTGTCGTGGCTTGATATGGTTGACCTGTGAATATTTTTGTTGTTTTGTGGAGTTTTTGGGGTGTTGGATTCCCCCGTGGATACGAGTTTTATTTGACCGACGGATATTTACAACGAGTGGATTTTTAGTTTATTCACGTGGATGAGGAGAGTTCTTCGGAGTTTGAAATGGATACCGTATGGATGGACAGGATCATGAAATACCTGTGGATTAGTTTGGCGGTTTGCTTGCTGTGTGGTGAGTTTATTAACCTGATAATTTATAAAAATTGAGCGTTGGAGGGAAAAATGAAATTAATTTTTCCATGTGAAAGCATCGATTTATCGTTCAAACACCTGAAATATTTATGGCACAGGGGAACGTTAACTTGAAATAATCCAAGAATTACTGGATTCGATGGAGCATAAACAGGTCGATTGTCTCGTTCTGTTGGAGATTTAATTCAGGATATGGAAAATTTCAGGATGCAGTTTTTCGTGCCCTGATGTATCCGTTTTGAGTTGTTAATACTATGTATAAGGATGGCATGTTGTTTAATGCCTCGATCCCCAATTAATCGGCTTCTCTCGTCATGTGAGATATTGGAAATGTCAAAATTCACCATCTGATCCTAGCAACCTAGTTGTGGCTCCAGAGTAAACGTTATCAGTCACACCGCACTGTGCAAATATATTCCCGTTCTCGCATAATTGCGCAATTAACCTGACAGCGAATTGAGCGTCTGCCGTGGTGCAAACTCCGACGACGACACCTATTTCGATTTTCTAATGACAATAGATGAATCTATAATTCAGTGGGTGTCGATTTTCTTCTTCGAGAAATATACTTTGACTTCGATTCCATTGGTGCCGTTGGTGGGAAAAAAAAAAGGAAAAAAATCAAAAAAAACTGAAATAATAGTCGACAATCGATTTTTTTAAATCCCGGGAAATTTAAATTTTTTTACAAGACACATTTTTTTATTGAAATATGCACATTCAGTATCGAATTAGTCTGAATAATAAAAAAATCAACTGCTCTAAATTTTCGGTATTTATATAAATAATCGAACGTGAAATCGATTTTATGAGTTTATTATAAAAATTTGAATTATTCAAATATTTTAAAAAAATGCAAGAATAATTTGTGTAAAATCGGAGTTCATTTTAATATGAAAAAAAATTCTGGAATAATGACTGATTCATGATTAATATTAAGCTTGATTCAATGAGACATTCCATTCATTAAATTTCTCGGAATTGATGAGAATTCTTTGGAATATCTATCCATTCATCTTTAATTTCATTTTTATTGTAACTCGAGGACATCCCAGCGCCATCTAGCGTCTGAACCACAATAAAACAACTGTCCCAGTAACTGAATTCAGGTATAAGATTTCTAACTCTTGATGAAGAGAGAAATCTTTCGTATATTTCCGTACGGAAAATGCAATCCAGAGAATTCCAGATATAAAAATATTTTAGCTATAATTCCATGACCGAGACAATTTTTATTTCTCCATGAAATTGACTTCTACACTTTACATTTTATCTCGGAACCCAAAACACTGACTTGATCCCCAAATGAACCAATTTCACCAACAGGTAAATTTTCGTCAAATCCTGTTTAGTACTTCTTAATCCTCTTCTAACAATAGAGGTCTTACCGAGTTTTCCATCTTTCGTAAATTGCGAGAGATTCCCCAAAACCTAATTCCCAGAGAGAAATATTTAATAAAAATTACCTAACAGTTCCATAAAATTACAAAAAAAACAGGTAATTTTTCTCGAGCATTTCTCTCCAATGATTTCCCTCAATAAAATTCACTCATCGCAAAAAAAAGTCCATCAACCCCATTTTTAGCCCCCGCTCTTCCCGCGATATTTAAAAAATTCAAAAAATATTGATACTCACCCCCAATAAATAGCCCCACCCCCATTGTAATCACATAAATACCGTAACAACCCGTAAGTGATAGTTTGCAAACTCTCGACAGTAACAGCCGCGCTGCATACCATTTATTCGATTCTCTCTGATTACACACCGTCAGAGAACAATTGGGTAAAATGGTGTGTTAAGTACAGAGTGAAAATCGATGAGGGAGTGGGATTGGGGTATAAATCAAGGTCGTGAAAGTAACTGGAGGATATGTGACGATGTGGTTGATGTGAGAGATATATTTTAGACACGGTAATACACACGCTTGTTGTAAAATAGTTATTGTCTGGGTACGTGTAACTAGTGTTACTCACGTATGTGTTCAAACAATCTGAGACCGTTGGTGGAAATGGAGAATGGAGTATTCGACAAACTGTGCTTCAGGGGTGGACGTGTAACGATAGAAATCCGGAATAGCTGCAACCGAAAACTCTCGGCAGGCAGGCGTTATCGAGTGGTTTCGTACGAATTACCACTCAAGAGTGTTAACACAGTGGCTTTTCAATGGCTCCACTAATTTCTAACACTGGGCTATTCAATTATTCTAGTATTAACTAATTACATTTGCTCAACTCCCAACCAAACTTTAGCCTATGAAATTTGTCACACCTCCGAGAGAAATTTTTCTTTAAATTTCCGGAGATGAATCGTAATCGCGTAGATAATTAACTATTTTAATATGGCTTCCACGAGAGGAATGTGTCACGTCTTTTGAGATGTCATAAAATATTCTCCACTGCTCATTCGTTAGATTCTTTTTCGATAAAAAAAAGGGAATGAAAGGCCTTCGTTTCCTGGTTTTTCTGCTGCTCGGTGATGAGATTGGTCGTTACTCATGCCAGAAGATATTTGACGTTGAATCAGATGAGTCCAAGCGGAAAAGATAATTGAATCTGGGGGAAAACTTTTGAAGTCTTGGATGTAATTGTATTCAATTCCCTGAACCGTGGCAATTAATTTAGTCCTCACATGGGGTACTATCATTTGACAGAAGTAACGTGCTCGAAAGGTAGGAGTCTTTACACACGAGACAGAAACCATTAGCCTGTACCTGAACTGAGTACGTATAGTGTCCACAAAGGGCCCATTATTAGACGTGCCTTCGAAATTATGTCAGGCCAGTGGCTTGGTACAAAGCCCTGCAAACCGAGGCCGACATATACCACCACAACCCACTGGACCCAGCGGCATTTAATGCGTTGTCCAGTCTCCGCTGTCTGTCATAACCTCACGCTCGCTTTGTTCCTATGTTATTTCAATATTTTAAAAATACTGCCCACCATTAATTTTTCACTTCATGTTTGATCATGCTCACCGCCACCGGCGAACGAGTGTCAAATCAGATTTCGTATTTTCAAACGCACCATCACTTTCCCACGATTCCATTTTTTTTTGCCAATCAATTTTTTTAACTTTCGCCATTTCTCTGCGGTTTTCCGTTTATTTATACCGATATATAAGTTTTTGCCATTTTCTAGTTATTATTGGATATTATTGTTATTTATTTTCTGGTTTATTCAGTAGGGGGTGGTGGGTGGGAACATGTGTCTAGGCGGATTTCGCGTTTTAAACGCATGATTCTGGCGTTTTCCCACGATTCAGGATTTTTTGGGAAGAGTTTTAGGGATGGGAATAGTGTCAGTGGATTCTCCTCTATTTAAATCCAACCCCTCGCTGTAAACCTAGGAATTTTTATATTTTTATTTCAAATAAATACTTTTCATGATAAAATTAAAAAAATATTATGCACCTCGTGAAATCATAAATTCCGAATTCAATTTCACGTTTTAAAACGCATCAGTTGATAATTTTCCCACGGTTACCATTTTTTTTATTATTCACCCAAAAAAATTAATTGAAAATATGTTACCCAGAGCCCACATTGTGCCCCCTAAAAAAAACATAAAAAAATAAATAACGAAAAATAAACGCATAAATTCTCTAATAAAATGTTTCTGTTTTCGCAATTCCCCATTTATAATCAACACAAAAAAAAAGACCCATGATTTAAAAATGAGGAACGATTTCTCGGTTTCTAAAAAAGAACTATAAAAATAATTCATTCCTCCCATTCACTCATTCACATTTACAAAATCCAAACTTTCACCAACCGACAAATTCAACGAGTCAACGACTAATCACAGTCATGATTCTGAGAACGAGGTCCCATGTACCCATTGATTCTCTAAGTGATCCCCACCGTTGAACAATCATCAAAAGCCAAAGTAATACTCCCTTCAATTGACTTTTACATTCCCACAGAGTATACCTTTGTCATCGTAACCATGAACGAATTACCAAATAACAAGTGGAGGCATGGGGCCTTTAACCGTATCATAACTCCCACTTGAGCTTGTGCTCATTGCTCCAAAGTGGAAACCAGCTACTGCATAAACGACAGTATTTTGTGCCCTCCCTGTTACCGTCACTTTTGGAAAATCCCACTGGGAGTGAGTTTATACCGTTGCACATCCATAAAACGTTCAGGTATGCCGCAGTGGTGTTGCGACAGTGAAACCTCTCTCTGCATTCCGCTCACCAGCCAGTGGAGAATATTATCAGTCCCCGGTTTATTACATATCCAGTACAACCGATGTCCCAGTTATCTGTTGTACAGGCCTGTGGCCTTCCTAAGCATCCAACGACTCCATTTTTACAACGAGTCATCACTTCAGTACCAAAAATTCCCTTGACATTCACTGATTCGTTAATTTTCTCTCAGATCGCTTCAACATCCTCCAATAATCCTGTCAACTCTAATTATTTATTATTGCATTAACTCTGAATTTTATTTTTAATGATTCTGACATGTTACACCGAAAATTAAATCTCTCTGATCAATAAATCATTTAATAATTTATTCTCATTCAATAATTCGTTTCAATTTATTGGAGAATTATTAATCTGTTTGGGAGAGAATTTTTTAATGGGGGGTGAATTACATTTTTCATTTTTCCGAATTTCTTTTTTTGGGGGGAATTCCAGTGGGAGTTCTTCAATTAAAATTTTTTTTTTAATTCAAATCAATTAATTAAGGAATAAATGACACTTCCATCGCACACCAATGCGTCAATTATATCACTTTGATGCTCACTGATTGAAACAACAATTGATTGGTTAATGAATCGTATTTTCGGTCGCGATAGACCGAACGGGTGAACTCGATTTGCCATTTTTATTTTTATTTCTGGACTCATTGCGTTTGTTTCACTATTTATTAAGTGGACTTTGAAATTGACTGAGTAAATTTGCCGGTGTGAACTTTGAATTTAGACGGGAATAAATAGAGGCGAATCCTAGGAGCAATCCAGGTGGAACGT